TCTTTCTTTCTTTCTTTCTTTCTTTCTTTCTTTCTTTCTTTCTTTCTTTCTTTCTTTCTCTTTCTTTTTCTTTCTTTCTTCCCTCCCTCCCTCCCTTCCTTCTTTCTTTCTTTCTTTTTTGAGATGGAGTTTCACAGCTCACCACAACTTTTGCCTCCCAGGTTCAAGCGACTCTCCTGGGACCACAGGCACGCGCCACCACGCCCGGCTAATTTTGTATTTTTAGTAGAGACGGGGTTTCTCCATGTTGGTCAGGCTGGTCTCAAACTCCCTCCTGGGCTCAAGCGATCCTCCCACCTTGGCTTCCCAAAGTGCTGGGATTACAGGTGTGAGCCACCCCATGCTTGACCATACTCTACTGTTAATGCAGCAGTTCAGCACAGTCAATTCACGTTTCTCCTCTGCTCACAGCCCTCACAGAATAAAAGCCAAAGTCCTGTAAAGCCCTCTAAAAAATGCCCTCCTCTTACCTCTCTGGGCTCCTCTCTTACTTCCCTCTTCACTAACTCAATTGCATAGACACTGGCTTCCTCACTGTTTCTCCCACAAGCTAGGCATGGTCCCACCTTGGAGCATTTTTGCTAGCTGTTCCCTCTTCCAGATGGCCTCATAGCTTGTTCCCTTATCTCATTTAGCCTTTTCACCCTTTCCAGTCCACCCCATTTTTTTTTTTTAAGGCGGAGTTTTGCTTTTTCACCCAAGCTGGAGTGAAGTGGCACGAACTTGGCTTATTGCAACCTCAAGCAATTCTCCTGCCTCAGCCTCCTGAGTAACTGGGATTATAGGCGCCTGCCACCACATCCAGCTAATTTTTGTATTTTTAGTAGAGATAGAGTTCAAGGCCAGATTGGCCTTGAACTCCTAACCTCAGGTGATCTGCCCACCTTGGCCTCCCAAAGTGTTGGGATTACAGGCGTGAGCCACCGCACCTGGCCAAGCCCACCCCATTTAAAAATGCAGTTGTAGCACATTTTGTCCTCCTGGCAACTGTAGCACTTATTGCTTTCTAATTTACTAGATATTTTACTTAATTTGCTTAAATATGTCTCTCCTCACTGGAATGTAAGCTCCATAAGTGCAAGGACTGTTGTTCACTGTTTTGTTCACTGCTGTAGCCCAAGCACCTAAGATAATGTCTGAAATAGGGCAGGGCACAGTGACTCACGCCTGTAACCCTAGCACTTTGGGAGACCGAGGCAGATGGATTATTTGAGGTCAGGAGTTCGAGACCAGTCTGGCCAACATGGTGAAACCCCGTCTGTACCAAAAATACAAAAATTAGCTGGGCATGGTGGCCCGCGCCTGTAATCCCAGCTACTCGGGAGGCTGAGGCAGGAGAATCGCTTGAACCTGGGAGGCGGAGGCGGAGGCGGCAGTGAGCCGAGATCGCACCATTGCACTCCAGCCTGGGCAATAAGAGACAAACTCCGTCTCAAAATAAATAAATAAATAAATAAAAGTCTGAAATAGAAGGCACTAATAAATAGTTGTTGCATGAATAAATCATGTCAGCTTCATCTATGTTTCCTAAAACATCCTTCACTTACAAAGCTTCTCTTCCCAACCCCTCCAAGTGACTCACTCCACCCTTTTCTCCTGCCCCAACAACAAAAACATTTACTAGCACTCACGTAGTTAAGCACTATGTGCCACTTAGCTATGTGCTAAGTGTTTTCACATACCGACTCGTTTAATTTACAATACATAAAAACCCCTTACTAGAATAAGTCCCATTTCAGAGATGAGAAAACTGAGGCACAGAAAGATCACAAGCTAGTAAACGGGGGATGTGGAACTCGCACCCAGACAGTGAAGTCTGGAGTTTGCGGTGAAGTCAGCAAAGCCCCGCCCCAAGCCCTTAACCCCGCCTCCTGGTCGCCGGTCACGCCCCCATCCCCTGGTCAGTTTCAGCTTCTCTTTGGACCCAAGGCAGATTCCTAACCCCGCCCCCGCAGTTCGACCCCCGCCCCATATCCCGGGCCCGCCCACCTTCCTGCAGGCTGAGGCTCCTGGCGGCCGGTGAGTCCTCGCGCAGCTCCCGAACGAAGATTCCCTCTTTGCCGCCGCCAGCTACGTTGATGCCGCTGACCCCGGTCTGCGCCTCTGTCTCCACGATAATTTCCACCAACTCCGCCCGCCTCAGCTCCTGCAGAGGGCGGCGAGGTGTAGTGCTGGGGCTCTAGAGCCAGACCTCTCCCAGAGCCCACCATTGCGCTCAACAGTGGCTCATATACATATATTATATACATATATATGTATATATTTATATATATTTAGACACGGGGCGGGTCTCGCCACATTGCCCAGGCTGGTCTCGAACTCCTCCTCGGCCCAAGCAATCCTCCCGCCTCGGCCTCCCAAAGTGCTGGGATTACAGGCGTGAGCCACCGCGCCCGGCTAGGAGCGGCTGTTCAGCGGGTCTTCAGGGCACACGCCCCTCGGCGCTGCGACGTCGGGACACACCCACTCTGGCCTCTCCCCTTTAAGCAAGCCCGCGGGCGACTGGCTTTCTAGGACCCGCGGAACCGTTAAACAGCTCCGCGGGCCGGCTGGCCTCTCTGAGGCTCTAGAGCTGCAGTCGAAAGGGGTTAGGGGAGGAGACGGGGTTGTAAGCGGATGGACTGCTTCAGAGTGGTCTGGAGAGAATTTGAGTTGTGAAGGAGAGATTGGCCCAGGATCGTGGGGGCGTGGTCAGGTCGGGAGGGCGGGGCTGGCGGTTGGTGCGTATAGGAGGGGTAGGAGAGCACAGGCCGGTGAGGAAGAGCCAAATGGGATATAGAAGCGTGCCAAAGATAGGAGTGTGGCCGGAATTTATGGGGGGTTATTTGGAGCTGGGATTGGAGACCCATATTATTTTTTTGTGGGGGGAGACAGGATCTCTCGCTCTGTCCCCAGGCTTGAGTGCGGTGTGATCATGGCTCACTGCAGCCTCGACCTCCTAAACTCAAGCAGTCCTTCCGCTCCAGTCTCCCAAGTAGTTGGGAACACAGGCACGCGCCACCATGCCCAGCTAATTTTTAATTTTTATTTTTTAAGAGACAGGGGTCTCACTGTATTGCCCAGGCTGGCCTCAAACTCCTGGCCTCAAGAGATCCTCCTGTCTCAGCCTCCCAAAGTGCTGGGATTACAGGCATGAGCCGCTGCATCTGGCCCCTAGACCCATATTCTCCAAGCCGGATTGAACTATGGGGGAGGGGCTTTAATTATAGCACAACAAGAGAATAGTTGAGGATGGGATTCTGAGGAAGGGGCTGGCTGGACCTTCAAGCTGTCTGGGATTCGGGGGACAGGGAGTGGGATTTGCCCCCCTGCAGGCTTGAATGTGTGTGAGAATGTGCTCTATTGTAAATTCAATGACCCAAAGACCTGCGAAACGCCCACAGGAGAGGGAATCCAGTGAAGGGGGTCTGCGTGGGTAATGAATGGGACTGGCAGACATGGCATTCCCGGTATTTACTGTAAATGATGCAGATTGGACCTGGCCCAGAAGCCACTGTGGGATTCACAATAGGGCTTCCCAGAAGAGGCACTGACAAACCTGGATCCTGTCTAGGAATCCAATCTGCTGTGTGTCTTAGGAAGAATCTTGCCCTCTCTGGACCCACTTCTCTGCTGCAAAATAGGGTAACATAGGCATACTGGAAGGAGGTTGCAGCAGGGATCTGAGAGGACGCTGTCACTTCCAGCGCATCGGGGCCAGCACGGAGTGGAATTGAGCCCAGGACTTGGAGAGAGAGCAGGTCTAGGCCAGATGCCCCACAGCAGTGGCCCCAAGGGACTAGGGGGCTGAGCAGGGCAGTGTGGGTAAGAAGAGTTGTGGCTGGGGCTGCAGGAAACAGCATGACCACCAAGTACCACCCTTTGGCTCAGCAGGCCCTGGACTCAGCATTTTATGTGCAGGATCTTTTTTTTTTTTTGAGGCGGAGTCTCGCTCTGTCACCCAGGCTGGGAGTGCAGTGGCACAATCTCGGCTCACTGCAACCTCCACCTCCCAGGTTCAAGCGATTCTTCTGCCTCAGCCTCCCAAGTAGCTGGGACTACAGGCACGTGCCACCACGCCCAGCTAATTTTTGCATTTTTAGTAGAGATGGAGTTTCACCATGTTGGCCAGGATGGTCTCGATCTCTTGACTTCATGATCCACCCACCTCGGCCTCCCAGAATTCTGGGATGACAGGCATGAGCCACCGCGCTCAGCCTCTTTTTATTTTTAAGACTCGGAGTCAGGCCGGGCGCGGTGGCTCATGCCTATAATCTCAGCACTTTGGGAGCCCAAGGTGGGTGGATCACCTGAGGTCAGGAGTTCGAGACCAGTCTGGCCAACATGGCAAAACCCCGTCTCTACTAAAAGCCCTAAAATTAGCCAGGCGTGGTGGCAGGTGCCTGTAATCCCAGCTACTCAGGCAGCTGAGGCAGGAGAATCGCTTGAACCTGGGAGGCAGAGGTTGCAGTGAGTCAAGATTGCACTACTGCACTCTAGCCTGGGTGACAAGAGAAAGACTCCGTCTCAAAAAAAAAAAAAAAAAAAAGAGTCGGTCGAAGTCTTGCTGTTTTGCCCAGGATGGTCTCCAACTCCTGGGCTCAAGGGATCCTCTGGCCTCAGCCTCCCAGAGTGTTGGGATTACAGGTGTGAGCCACCAAACCCAGCCTGCAGGATCTCATTTCATCCCCTCCCCACAGCCTTGGGCAGTCACAGAGGAGGACACTAAGGCCCAGAGAGATAAAGTGACTTGCCTAATGCCCTGTAGCAAGTTAAGTGGCTGGGCCTCAACCTTAGGTCTGTGACCCCAGAACCCATAGGCCATCCCGTAGGCAGAGAACTCCTGGTGCTCTACCTACGGCCTCTCACCCCTAGTATCAGCTTGGCCCCTGTAAGAGTAGACCTGCTCTGTGCCTGGTATACAGTAAGACACGGTTGATGCCAGTCCACCGTCTCAGTAACAGTGACAGCAGCTGCCATTCAAAGAGGCTTCCTCAGCACCAGATTCTGTGCAAATGGCTCTAGCGTGAGTTCTCAGAGGTGGAGATCATTACCTCCATTTCTTTTTTTTCTTTTATTTTTGAGACGGAGTCTTGCTGCGACCCCCAAGCTGGAGTGCAATGGTATGATCTCGGCTCACTGCAACCTCTGCTTCCTGGGTTCAAGCGATTCTTCTGCCTTAGCCTCCCAAGTAACTGGGGCTACAGGCATGCACCATCATGCCCGGCTAATTTTTGTATTTTTAGCAGAGACAGGGTTTCACCATATTGGCCAGGCTGGTCCCGAACTCCTAACCTCAAATGATCCGCCCGCCTTGGCCTCCCAAAGTGCTGGGATTACAGGTGTGAGCCACTGCGCCCGGTCCCATTACCTCCATTTCACTGATAGGGAAACAGAGGCTCAAAGAGGGGAGATCATCTGCCCAGGGCCACACAGCTGAAGTGGTAGGGTTGGGATTTGAGCCACGGGTCCAAGCCCATGTCCTTAATCCCTACATTCTATGCCCTTGTTTTTCTTTGTTTTTGTTTTTGTTTTTGTTTTTGTTTTGTGTGTGTGTGTGTTTAGACAGGGTCTTTTTTTTTTTTTTTTTTTTTTTTACTTCGTTTTTCTTATTTATTCTTTCCACACAGGAGACTTAATGTGACAGGATCTTGCTCTTTCACCCAGGCTGGCAGGCAGTGGTTCAATCATATCTCACTGCAACCTCAGCCTCCTGAGTTCAGGTGATTCTCCTACCTCAGACTCCTGAGTAGCTGGGACTACAGGAATGCACCACTAAACCTGGCTAATTTTTTTTTTTCTGGTAGAGGCAGGGTCTCCCTATGTTGCCCAGGCTTGTCTCAAAACTCCTAGGCTCTAGCGATCCTCCTGTCTTGGCCTCCCAAAGTGCTGGAATTCCAGGCCTGAGTCACTGCACCTGCATTTACTGCCTCTTCTGATGAAGGGTTTCTGCTGGATTTTCTTTAGCTCCTTATTAACTTAGCTCCTTTATGCACCAATGAATTCACTGCTTTGAGTCTTAGTTTGTGCCAGACACTGCAGTAAGGACATTACACATGTTAATTTTCTTCCCCTCACAGTGACCCATAAAATGGACCCTGTTACTATTTCCATTTCACAGATGGAGAGAATGAGGCACAGAGAGGCCAGAAAGTGCCTCCTTGCTGCCCTAGTCTGTGCCTCCCCATTGTCCTCAAATGCGCCTTGCAGGACACGTGGGCACTCACCTCTGCACTCCGGCTCCTGGCCTCCATGGTGTTGCTGGGAGGCACCTGCACCCCAGGCTCCTGCGTCCTCTCCCCTTTCTGCTGCAAAACCAGCTTCAGTTCTGCATGGAGCAGCTGCCTCTGAGCCTGCGGGAGGACAGCAGTGGAGGCTTGAGGCCAGGAGGGGATAAGAGGTGGAGGCCATGCTTACAGGGAGAGAGCAGGGTGGGTATTGGAAGGGGAGAAGGGCCCCACCCCAGCTGTCCTCTCACCGCTGCCTGGGCGCAGGCACTTCCTCCTAACAGGAGCCCAGCCCGAGGTGCCGCACAGCTGTCTGCAGCGCTCACGCCCTTCCGCGGGGTTCTTGCTGCCTGCCAGGGAAAGACCAGGACATGAAGCTCTAGGCAGGCGAGGGAGGGGTGGGGAGGGGCATGTGGCACCAGCCAGCACTCACCTGAGGGTCACCTCCAGCTCCTTGGGCCTCCTGGGTCCGGGGCTCTAAGAAGAATAATGAAAGCAGTGTTATTGGCTAACACCCACTGATGGCTTCCTGAGTGCCTTACCCTGCTGTGTTCTGCTGATACCCTGTCCCCATCGTGCAGGTGGGAAACTGATCCTCAGAAGACCTTTACCCAGGATGACTCAGCTGGACAACACACAGTAAAGCCAAACCTGACTCTGAGGCTTCTCTGGCAGCAGGGCCCCTGTGCCAAAGATCTTGGCCAACTGAGGGGGCCAAATTCACTAAAAAATAATTGGTTTTTGAGACAGGGTCTAGCTCTATTGCCCAGGCTGGAGTGCAGTGGTGCAATCACAGCACACTGCTGCCTCCATCTCTGGGCTCAGGCGATCCTCCCACCTCGGTCTCCCGAGTAGCTGGGACCACAGGTGCAGGCCACAACACCTGGCTACGTGTGTGTGTGTTTGTGAGAGAGTTTCGCTCTGTCACCCAGGCTGCAGTGCAATGGCGTGCTCTTGGCTCACTGCAACCACCAACTCCTGGGTTCAAGCCATTCTCCTGACTCAGCTTCCCGAGTAGTTGGGGCTACAGGCACGCACCTTGGGACTACAGGCACGCACCACCATGCCTGGCTAATTTTTGTATTTTTAGTAGAATCGGAGTTTCACCATGTTGGCCAGGCTGGTCTTGAACCCCTGACTGCAAGTGATCTGCCCATCTTGGCCTTCCAAAGTGCTGGAATTACAGGCATGAGCCACCACACCTGGCAACACCAGGTTAATTTTTAAAATTAATTTATAGAGATGGGGTCTCCCTAGGTTGCCCAAACTGATCTCCAACTCCTGGGCTCATGTATCCTCCTGCCTCAGCCTCCCAACACTATAAAATAATTATAGCCACTCCCAGGTACTCCCAGTGGGCAAATCATAGCACCTCTCTGTGCTTCAGTTACCTCATCCATAAAATGGGGAGAATAAGAGCTCTTACCTTGCAGGGCTGTTCCGAGGATCAAATGAGTTAATAAGTATAAAGTGCCAGGCACCTGGCAGGTGCTTTATAAATACTTGCTGCTATTATTATTATTATTATTATTATTATTATTATTATTATTTTGAGACAGAGTCTCACTCTATTGCCCAAGCTGGAGTGAAGTGGTGCGAATTCAGCTCACTGCAACCTCTGCTTCCTGGGTTCAAGTGATTCTCCTGCCTCAGCCTCTTGAGTAACTGGGATTACAGGTGCCCACCACCACGCCTGGCTACTTTTTTGTATTTTTAATAGAGATGGAGTTTCACCATGTTGGCCAGGCTGGTCTCGAACTCCTGACCTCAGGTGATCCAGCCGCCTCGGCCTCCCAGAGAGCTGGGATTACAGGCATGAGCCACTGCACCTGTCAGGCCATTATTATTACTAAGAACTTCCTATGGCCTCGACCTTGTGTCGAGCGCCCCACAGGCACCACTGCACGTGGCCCTCAGCACAGCCTTGTGCAATCAGCTACTACTGAGCCCATTACAGAGGAGACAACTGAGGCTGGGGGAAGGGATATCGGTAGCCCAGATCACAAATGGTCGAGCCAGGACTTGAACTTGTCTGAAGGCTCCAGCCCTTTATCTGGGTAATAATAACTGATGGGTACTGAGTGGTTAGTATTTGCCGGTCCCCGTGCTAGACCTTCACCTTCCATCTCACCTCGGAAAACCCCATTTCCTGAGAGGCCAAAAGAACTTGCTCAAGGCCTCACAGCACAGCCAGAAGGGGGCAAAGCTGAAATTCACATGCAGCCATCCGCCAGGCCCATCTGGGAAAATGGAGATGAATACCGTCTCCCCCAACCCCCGACTCTGGGCTTGTCCCCACAGCCCCCACCTGGCATGCCAGCCCGCCAACCCCTATTGCACAGGGAAAGGTCAGGCCTCACGCGGCACATTCCCTCCCACAATGGCCCGTCTGCTGTGCTCACTTGCATTCCGCCCCTGCCCACCCACCCTGGCCACACAATGGCCCTTCATAGCCCAGCACTAGGCAGGACAGAGGACATGCGGACCCCTTAACACTCCCACGGCACCCACGCCCCCCGCAGTGTAAGACGGCTTCTTTCTGCATCTCCTAGGGGTCCTGGTCTCTGTGGCCTTCCTGTGAGCCCCCTGCCCCTTCCAGGCTGAGCCAGGACTTGAACTTGTCTAAAAACTCCCGCGCGGGCCGGGCACGTGGCTCAGACCTGTAATCCCAACACTTTGGGAGGCTGAGGTGGGTGGATCACGAGGTCAGGGGTTCGAGACCAGCCTGGCCAACATGGTGAAACCCCATTTCTACTAAAAATACAAAAATTAGCCAGGCGTGGTGGTGGGCGCCTGTAATCCCAGCTACCCGGGAGGCCGAGGCAGGAGTGTCGCTTGAGCCCGGGAGGCGGAGGTTGTGGTGAGCTGAGATCGTGCCACCGCACTCCAGCCTGTGCGACAGAGCAAGACTCCATCTCAAAAAAAAATAAAAAATAAAAATAAAAAAAGCTCCAGCGCTTTAGCTGGCCAATCATAATAACAACTGATGGGTATTGAGTGGTTAGTATTAATATTAGCTGGTCCCGCACCGAGACCTTGTCTGCCACGTCTGGGGCATTTCCTCTGAATTGGGTCATGTGCTAGCACCCCTAGGCCTCAAAATCACCCTAGATGTTGTGGCTGTTACAGGGGTGGAAACTGAGGCTCACAGAGGGGTCACTCAGCCAGAAAGGGGCAGAACTAGGACCCATGCCTGCCCGTCACCCCTGCTTCACCTTAGTTTGCATTGGTGGCTCTGTACACTGGGGCAGGAGCTGGGTTGGGCAGGAGGGGGTCAGCGGTGTTAGAAGCACACTCAGGCCAGGTGCCGGGCCTGGGCCGGGCAGGTGCTTTACATACTTGACCTCGTGGGACCCCATTTAACTGATGAGTCAATAAGAGTCAAGAGACGGGTGATCACGGTGACAGAGTCGAGTCTTGAGCCCAGGTGCGAAAACGAACTCAGTTCCCTTACCCAGGACTGAGACACAGCACAGAGTCCTGAGCTGGGGGCGTGAGAAGCCTGGACCTTGGTGGTGGTAGTGGAGGGGGTCTCCTGGGTCACAAGCTGTCTGTCCCAGGCCCGTGGCTGTGAGGGTCATGCCCGCAGCCTGGCACAGGAAGTTCAGGCGGGGCAGGGACAAGAGAGAGTGCCCTCCTTCTTCGTCCCTCTCTGGGACAGGCACCCAGCCCAGGTTATATTTAGCCCAACTGTGCCCTTCCTGAGCCACGTACCCAGCTCGTGGGGTAAGGTGGGGGCAGCTTCGGAAGGAAACCCACAGAGAGGACTCTGTGTTCCCAGCTCTGCCTATCCCACGAGGGAGGGGAAGGAGGAGTGGGGAGGCTTCTGGCGGGGCGGTCCCTGCCTTGTGTTAGGAGCAGATCTACTGGGACCAGGCAGACACTCCAGGTGCCAGCAGCCTATTTCTTGGGTGGTTACTGTGGCGTGACCCTGGCATATGCCAGAGTTTTCAGAATCCCCAGGGTCCCCATTTCTTGAGCACCTACGATGTGCTAAGTAAGATCCTTCCTGTCTTGGCTCCTTAAATCTTTGTAACATCTCCCTGGAGTGGGTACAACTGAGATATCCATTTCAGATGCGACTCATGCCCTTCAGAGCAGCTGGGAGCGAGGGGTTGTCATTTGGAGGCTGCTGAGAGATCGGCTGAGGGCATTGCCCTTCTGGCCCTCTTTCCCTGGTGACTGCCACCAACTTCACTTGGGAACCCTGCCTGCTCAGAGCCTCAGCTTTCCCCAGCCACCAGCGTGATCTCCCATAGTAATGGGGGTCAGGGGTTGAGCTAACTCATCCAGACCTCTAAACATTCTCCGAGGCCATCTAGGGAGTCAGGAGGAGTTAAGGTGGTGACCTCTGGCTGCCTCAGTTAGTCCCTGCTCCAGCACTTCCCAGGTGTAAGGACTTGGGCAAGATCCTTCATCTCTGGGGCCTCAGTTTCTCCATCTGTAAAATGGAGCCAATAAGAATGGCTTTGAAGATTTGTGAGAGAACAGCAGGTGCTTAGAATATCCCTCGTATATAGTAAGTGTTCAATTAATATAAACTCGTCTCTGAGAGCAATAGGGAGAGTATGGAAGGAGGGGGCTGTGCATCTCACAGTGTTGCACGTCCAACCTTTGCTCCTCAGTGGCCCCCACTTTCTCCGCTACCAAAGGGGAGCTTTGGCTGACAGACAAAACCCAGCTCAGGCACCAGCCTCCCACCAACAGGATCCATGCTGCCTCCCTAGCACCCTACTCCAGGGAACCACCCTAGACATTCTGCCCCAGCTCTGGTGTTTGTTTGTTTTTTGGAGACAGGGTCTTACTCTGTCACTGAGACTGGAGTGCAGAGGTGTGATCACGGCTCACTGCAGCCTCGACCTCCTGGGCCCAACTCATTCTCCCATCTCAGCCTCCAGAGTAGCTGGGACCACAGGCATGCAACACTATACCCAGCTAATTTAAAAAAAAAGAAATTTTTTTTTTTTTTGTAGAGATAGGGCCTCTCTATGTGGCTCAGGCTGGTCTCGAACTCCTGGGCTTAAGCAGTCCTCCCGCCTCGGCCTCCCAAAGTGTTGAGATTATAGGCATGAGCCACCATTCCCGGCTGCCCTAGCTCTTTAAAAGCAGCAACTCATTTATTCTGGTGCCAGCCTTGTGAGGTGGCCTGGGGACATAAGCCCATTTTAGAGATGGGGAAGCAGAGGCACAGAGGATGAAGTATCTTGCCCAAGGCTGCACAGCCAGAAAGGAGAGGAAAGGGGATTTGAACCACTGGCTCCAAAGTCTGTACCTTTCACCCACCTACAACACATGGCTTCCTGAGCCCCCAGGCCCCTTCCCAGCACCTCCCGGGACCCTGAACCTCATTCCCACAGTGTTTCAGCCTGGCCAGGGAGGGGACTGGCCGGCTGATCTCTTACCGCTGAGCCTCCAGACACCTCAAGAGCTCCTGGTCCCGTCTGTCAGCCCCAGCTCTAGGCTGGGGGGGAAAAGGAATGGGGAGGGGGAGGAGAGAGAGATCCCAGCCATTGGCTGCGGAGGTGTGACGTCACCAGAGGGTGGGTGGTGGAGAAACAAACATCCCCCTCCTCCAGCAACATCTATCCGCAAGCGGTGGGGGCCAAGAGACAGCCACCAGCCGCCTCTCTCTTGCCTGGGCCGAGACCTCTGCCATGAGCTCAGCTTCAAGGATTTGCACGTTGACTTCCTCGACTGGGAGAATCAGGACCCCACCCCAGCCCCACCGTTTCCTGGCTCCAGGACCCCGGCCTGGCCAATGGCCTCTATCGTAAACTCCTTTCACTCCCTCTCCCTGTCAACTTGGGTTCAAATCACAGCTCGACCACTTCCTGGCTGGGTGACCTGCCGCCAGTCACAGCTTCTCTCTGTGGATAGTAAGAGTACCTATCTTATGGGGTTGTGGTGAAGATTAAATGAGTCAAAAGAGACTGAAAATGTAAAACAATGCCTGGCACAGAATGAGGGTTACTAATGAGTATTTGGTATTATTTTTCACACAAATTAAGTGACTGGCTCGTCTTGCTGGGGGGGTTTTGACCCTTTTTGAGTGAAACTGAGCACAGGGGACCCCCAATTCTCTGTCTAATGGAGTTACTGTTTAGGGGGACACCTATTATATACTAAGTGCCATGCTCAATGCTCAAGCTCTGCTTTTGAATCAAGGGTGTAAAATGGGGTCCTTATACTCCCCACCCTTTTTTGTTTGAGACAAGGTCTCTGTCGCCCAGGTTGGAGTGCAGTGGTGTGATCATGGCTCACTGCAGCCTCAACCTCCTGGGCTCAAGCAATCCTCCCGACTCAGTCCCCTCAAGTAACTGGGACTACAGGCATGCACCACCATGCCCAGCTAATTTTTGTATTTTTTGTAGAGACGAAGTTTCACCATGTTGCCCAGGCTAGTCTTGAACTCCCGGGCTCAAGCGATCTTCACACTTCAGCCTCCCAAAGTTCTGGGGTTATAGGCGTGAGCCACCGCATCCAGCTATGCCCAATGTATAGCTATGTGGCCAGGAGGTGGTGGAGCTGAGGTCCAACCCCTGTTCTTTTGGACCACAAAATCCCTGCTACACTCTTCTGCCCCTTCCACTTTGCAGACAAGAAGGCTCAGAGAAGGTAAGTGACTCTCCCAAGATCACCATAGCAGGTCATTGGCAGGGGCTCAGATTTGAACCCAGACCTGCCTGACTCCCAAGCCAAGGCTACCAGGCCTCACCGCCATCCCCTGGACCCTGGCCCAGCCCCCAGCCTGCCCTGACTCACCAGACCCCGGGGGGCGGCACAGGGAGCACAGGTACCCCCACATACCACTTGAACCCACCCGGCTGCTGCCTCGGAAGCTCGTCGCTCTCTGAACCCAGGCCCCAAGCCTGGGCTGGGCTGAGGCTGGGGGATTACCCCCAAAGCGCGTGTCAGCAGCTTCTGCCCCATTGTCCAGCCAGGCACAGACACCGGGCCCTGGCCTCCGTCGGCACCCTCGTCCCTCACACCAGCCTGGGTGGCCCCTCTGCAGATCTGTCCCCCATCTCACACCAAGGGGTTGGGGCCTACTTCGGAGGGTATCGGGGACCAGGCCAGGATGGCAGGATCCCGGAATGCTGGGGGCCTCCCTCCTTTCTCTCTGAAATGCCCCCTGCCCACTCTCAGCCACCGAGGAAGGCAGGAATGTGCTGAGCTCTGGGAAATGCCTTCCAGGCCTGGCAGCAACCAAAGGTTGGGGTGTGGCCAGAAGCCAGCCAGAGCCCTCCTCCTGGGAGGGGTAGAAGGGATGGTATGGTCGGGGCTCCCGATGGGCCTGAGGAGACCCTTACCTCGTTGCATTCTCTCTCCTTCACTGATTCACACAAACGTTCTTTCGTTCCTGTATTCATTCAACAGACACTCACAAGCCCTGTTTAGTGGTAGGTCTTTTGCTGGGCACAGGGGACATCAACAGATCTAACTCCACCCCAGCGGGGAAGGGGCAGACTCAGGAAAGGATCCTGCAGCAGGTGATATCTGCAGTCAAACTGAATTAGTGGGGCGTGGTGGGGCACCTGTAACCCCAGCTACTCGAGAGGCTGAGGCAGGAGAATTGCTGAAACCCGGAAGGCAGAGGTTGCAGTGAGCCGAGATTGTGCCACTGCACTCCAGCCTGGGTGACAGAGCGAGCTGTCTCAAAACAGTAATAATAATAAATAATAATAAAATGAAGTCAAACTGGAAGATTGAGGAGGAGGGAGCTAAGGAAATAAGGAAGGAAGGGGGTTCCAGGCAGAGGGACAAATGTGGGCGAAGGATGAGGTGAGAAACAGAGCAGGCCTTCATTCACCATCAGCAAACATTCAGTGAGCACCTGGTCTTGTGTCCAGTTCCAGGCTGGATGGTGCCGGGGACACAGTGTGACTGGGACAGCTCAGGCCTGCCTTCACACCATTCACAGTCCAGCAGGGAACAAACCCAGAAAGAGGAGGGTTGTGATGGGGCAACCATAGGCAGAGAGGTCAAAGCATGGATGGGGAAGTCCAGAAAAGGTGCCTGCCCCAGCCTAGAAAGAGAAATCAGAGAGGGCTTCCTGGAGGAAGTGGCATTTGAACTTGCACCTGGAGGATATATAGGAGTTAACCCAAAGTCATGGGTGGTGAAGGAATGACAGTGTGTTTCAGGTAGCAGGAACAGCCTGTACAAAGGCCTTTTGGGAAAATGGTTAAGGTGAGAGTGTGAGGGAAAGGTAAGAGGAGGGCCAGGGGTCAGCAGGGCCATGAGGAGGGCCCTAAGGAGCTATTGGAGAGACATAGTATTAATAGCACTGAGCTTTTAGGTACGTGAGGGCAGAAAGAGGCTGAGCTATCAGCCAGGCTAGGGTGGGGAAGAAAATCCCCCTCTCTCTGCTCAGGGTCAAACAGAAAAAGGAGGCTGGTACATACCATCCCCTCTCTTCCCTTGTTTCAGAGAGCAGACATCTTTGCTTGTTCTCCGTCTTAGGAGAGAGCATTTAACCTTTTGACATTAAGTAGGACATTAGTGTTCCATGTTTTGTAGATACGCTTTATCAGGTTAAGGAAGCTCCTTTCCCTAGTTTGCTGTGAGTTCTTTGTTTTCTTGTTTTTGAGAGATGCAGGTCTCACTATGTTGCCCAGGCTGGCCTCAAACTCCTGGCCTCAAGCGATCCTCCTGCCTTGGCCTCCCAAAGTGCTGACATTACAGGTGTGAGCCAGTGTGCCAGGCCCCGGCCTGCTGTGAGTTCTTTTCTTTTTCTTTTTTTGAGACAGAGTTTTCCCTCTCTCGCCCAGGCTGGAGAGAAGTGGCATGATCTCGGCTCACTGCAACCTTCGCCCCCCGGGTTCAAGAGATTCTCCTGCCTCAGCCTCCCGAGTAGCTGGGATTACAGGCACCTAACACGATACCCAGCTAATTTTTGTATTTTACACTTGATCTTAGCCAAAAGGCCAAGAAGCGATAATTTTGTATTTTTAGCAGAGATGGGGTTTTGCCATGTTGGCCAGGCTGGTCTTGAACTCCTGACCTCAGGTAATCCCCCTGCCTCGGCCTCCCAAACAGCTGGGATTATAGGCATGAGTCACCACACCTCACCTGTTGTGAGTTTTTATCACGAATGGTGTGTCTCTCTGTGTGTCTCTATCTTTGTATCTCTCTGTTCTCTTTCTCTCTGTCCTTATGCTCTCTTTCTGTGTCTTTCCTGGTTTCTTTCTGTCTCATTCTGTCTGTGCATTTCTCTCTCCCTCTCTCTCTCCCTCTGTCGTGCTTTCCCTTACCCGAGGGGGTGTGGCCATGGGAAGCTAAGTTGGGGGTGGCACCGGTGTCCTGGTTCCGGCTGTGGCCACCGCAGTAAACACAGGACATCCTGTGAGGCTAGGGAAGGAGGTGGACGCTTCTCCTCAGGGACCACCCTCTCCGGACCCAGTCTGAGCCAGGCAGGAGCCTTGGCCTGCCCTGCCTGGCCTAGCCACTCCGCCTCACCCAGTCCAACCAAGGGACACTGGTGTCTCCCTCGAGCCCACCCTTCATGCCCACCCCCGCACCCCAGTCCTCTCTCCTGAGCTCGTGGCCCAGGGCCCCAGCAGCTCCATGCCTTCCCTTGGGTGTCTCCCCAGCCTCTTGCACCCCCTGGGTCCCTCCCTGGCTTCAGCCCCAACCTCAGACTTGCTTCTCTCCCCAGTTGCCATCTCAGGGATGGCCCCACTGTCTCCCAGTCCCCTGATTAGAGCCCTAAGCCTGGTCTGAGACCCCTCCTCCATGCCTCGTCAGCCCCACAGCCTGTCTGCTGGGCCTCCTGAGTGCCTCTTCCCTCCTAATAGCTGCTCCGTCCCTCCCCAGATTCTCCACCCCTGGGCTTCTGGGCTCCTGACCTCCAGTGTCACCTCCCTGACGATGCCGCCCACCTAGTGAAGGGATCCTTTTACTTCATGGCTCCCCAGTGTCTTCAGAGTTAAGTCCCCCATCCACGGTCCTGTATGCCCTGGCCCCTGCGGACCCTTCCAGTCTTGTCATTTACCTTACTGCTTTCCTCCTCCTTCCAGCCAAACCCAGCAGCTAAGAGATTCCCGAAAATGTTGTAGGGTCTCTCTCTCAGTGACCCTTGCTGTTTCCTTGCCCACCAGAACAACAGTTCTTTGGGGTTACTGTTCAGATACTGTTCAGATATTGTTACTGTTTCAGTTTACAGGTGAGGACCCCGAGGCTCAGAGAAGTTAAGTACCTTGCCTAGAGTCACACAGCCACAGAGGGGCAACTCTTTTCTTTTCTTTTTTTCTTTCCCTTCCTTTTTTCTTCTTTCTCTCTCCTTCCTTTCTTTATTTCTTCCTTCCTTACTTCCTCTCTCTCTTTCTTCCTTCCTTCTTTCCTTCCTTCCTTCCTCTCTCTTTTCCTTCCTTCCTTCCTTCTTTCCTTCCTTCCTTCCTTCCTCTCTCTCTTTTCCTTCCTTCCTTCCTTCCTTCCTTCCTTCCTTCCTTCCTTCCTTCCTTCTTTCCTTCCTTCCTTCTTTCTTTCTGACAGGGTCTTGTTATGTCGCCCAGGCTGGAGTGCAGTGGTGCAATCATGGTTCATTGCAGCCTTTAACTCCTGGCCTCAAGTGATCTTCCCACCTCAGCCTCCTGAGTAGCTGGGACTACAGGCGTGAGCCATCGCATCTGGCCAAAGCTGGGGTTCAAACCCAGGCAGTCTGGCTTTCAGGAACAATCTCTTCTCACCAGCTTACTGCTTCAGTAACATCTAACATCTAACATCTAAC